TGGGTCCAGCTGGTTCACCTGGGTCCAACTGGTTCACCTGGGTCCAGCTGGTTCCCCTGGGTCCAGCTGGTTCCCCTGTATCCAGCTGGTTCACCTGGGTCCAACTGGTTCACCTGGGTCCAGCTGGTTCCCCTGGGTCCAGCTGGTTCACCTGTGTCCAGCTGGTTCCCCTGGGTCCAGCTGGTTCACCTGGGTCCAGCTGGTTCCCCTGGGTCCAGCTGGTTCACCTGGGTCCAGCTGGTTCCCCTGGGTCCAGCTGGTTCACCTGGGTCCAGCTGCTCATACAGTCTGTTAGGTGGGGAAGGATCATGGCAGTCATATAGAGTTTTGCTACAGGTGTTGTCAAACAGTTCCTTATATATCTAAAGTTTGCTAGATTGTATTTAGTTATTTGCATGACTTTTCTCACTTGTTTTTTGAAGGATAGAGTCGTGTCAAGGATAATGCCTAGATATTTAAAATGTGTGACTGTTTGAATGACCTCCCCAGACACACAGACCGTGGGTTCACAGTGTGATACAGGGTTGCTCTTGCTAACAAACATACTGTAATGGCAATTTAAATGTTCCAATGTCCTATATCCTTTGCCATTACTTCACAGGAGGTTAGAGTGATCCAGACGCAGACACAAACACATGATTTCCGGTCTTTTGCTGCAGTTTAGAATGATGTTTTTTAGCTTTACATACCAAGGTGTAATGATACTGTGTCAAAGGTTCTGGTATGAGCATCTGCCGGGCTGGTGGAATCGGTGTGCTCTTCCTCCTGTGTCCTCGTCATTTCCTGTCACCCCTTTTATACACCCGGTGCAGCTAAACCCCGCCACCAAGTGTGCAAAAATAATATTGCAGTATACATATAAATAATAAATGTCTCCTACACATACAGACTGTCTTCTTAACGTTTAGATATAGCTGTGAGTCAGTAAGCCATTGATGTGCATGCACCATTGCAGCAGCTTGGGCCTTGGTTTTTGCATGGACATAAATGACAGTGTCATCAGTGTACATTTGCACCTCACATCCAGTGCACACTCTGACAGATAGGAGCTCATCCAGTCTATTGCACTGGGTGAGAAGTTAAAATAAGACATGTTGTGAATGAGTACTTGATGATTGACTGATCAAAAGCTTTCTTAAGATCTAAGAAGATTGCTCCAACAAACTCAAGGCCCGTGACTTCACTTGATGCAAGAGCCCGCAAAGAATGTAAAATGTTTATTATACGGTTACATGATGCTTTACAGAAGCTCGTTGCCCATAAACTACATGTCCCACAATGCATCTCAAATTTGACTTTTTTTCTCAGAATTTGACTTTTTTTCTAAATGTTACTTTTTTTTTCAAATTTTAATTTTTTTGTTTTGATTTTGACTTTTTTTTCCAGAATTTGAACTTTCTTTTTAAATCATTTTGTGACATTCGCACTGAAGAGACTTGCAATTATTTGCCCCAGACTTCTGCTTTCAGACGTAGTTAATTATGAAGTTATTATCCTATCAGATAATAATCCAAAGCAGAGGCAATCATGTAATATAATACATTATTTTATATATATTAAATATTTATATATGTATTTTTATATAGTCTTATATATAAAACTGGCCCTTTGAGTGCAGCCATGATGCTAATGTAGCCCGAGATGAAATTGAGTTTGACCCCCCCCTGCATTAGGACTGAACAGTTGCTCCCTGACGGCCTGGCAGAACAGAGCATGCTCCTGGCTGAGGAGGTGTGTGATCTGTTCGGTGATGCTTGCTGAACATTGATCCCTAACAGCACGGCCCCTGATGGATCTAAAGCTTCAGCAGCTGAGCACTCTGGGTAGACGCTTCACTTACAGGCTGGTTTGATGGCTTGGTAAATGGAAAGCGGTGATTTGAGCTATTCTCACCGCTCTAATCACTGTCACAGGACTTTTGTCTTTGTCTTATTAGGATCCCCGTTAGCAGTAGCGTGAGCATTGGCTATTCTTCCTGGGGTCCTCACACACACAACACATACATAAACATGTAACACAATTCAAACAAAACAGCTCATCATTTCATGCAGTTTACAGCGCTGCATGAAGTGAAAACTGAAATGGAAATCCAATTTTCGCCATCGTGAGGCCAAATACAAGAAGACATTTTAATATATCCATACTTAGCCACAGGCACAGATCCATTTGACTTTGTAAGACTGAAATCATTTTTTAGCAATCCTTTGAAATGTATTGAGAATGTTGTCTCTGTTGCATTGTTCCCGTGTTAGAGGACTTGTTATGAAAGCTATTGACAAGTCAGTATCAAACACTATGTTAGCCTATCAGCCCCTGAAGACTGAAGCGGACATTTTGAAGTCCCCCTTCTCCTCATCCTCTGACTCCAGTTTTCACTCTGACGATGAAACATTTGCGTAAACACCTTTTGTTTGATTCCATTCAGATTAGCTTCCAGCGCCTGAAACAAAAATAGAATCCTGGTGAATTTGTAATGCTGATGAAGGAAGAACCTCTTATGATCAAATATAAATAACTTTTATATTTGTGATCAATATGTAATATGATCACAAGGTGGAATGTAATGGAAAGTGTTATCGTGCTGAGTGAGCAAAGTTCAACATGAGTTCTTCTTGATGAGATATTTCTTAGACAACGACTGACTGTCAGTGGTTAAGATAACCTCTATCTATTGTGAAAGGTAGATGACCTTTAGCCTCTAAGGCAGCGGTTCCCAACCTGTGGGCTGCGGCCCCCTAGTGGTCCGTGAAGGCATTGCAAGTGGGCCGCCAAATAATTAGCAAAACATTTTGATTTGAACCTCCTTTCCTTTTTCTTTCTCGATCCTCCTTAGCAACGGTCATCAAAGTCCTTGACGGCGGTCTGTTCTACTGGATTAACAACGTGTCACATGTTCAGAATTGACCAATCAGAATCGAGTATTCAACTAAACCGTGTATTAAAAATGTCTGTTTGTTGCTGATGGCCAGATCCTTTTCTAATTAAAATAAAAAGTACTCTGAGAACTTCATTTAGCCTCCGTAGTGTTTACGGTTGAAAGTGGGCCGTGAACATTTTTTAGATTCTTAAGCGGAAAAAGGTCGGGATCCGCTGGTCTAAGGAATGCAGACATTAAGGCTCTCCATGCAGCAAGAAGATGTTTCCTGGACTCCTTGACCACTCCTCTTCTTCCCTTTGTGTCTGATTCTGTGAATATAAGACCCTTTGCAAATCTCCTGGCTTCTGTACTTCGCTGCGGCTTGAAACTCAAAAGAGGAATCGTTTCGGTGAAAACTACAAGGTACCATGGGGTCTGTGATGAAGATAGCTTCGTCACTGTGGACTGACGGTTTCGGGCTTTGTATATTGCACATGTGTTTTATTTTGAAAAGTGTTCCCTTTCCCCATGTCTGTTGCTCCTGATTATGTTCACCTGGTGCCCTGTGTTGTCTCCTCCCCCATCACCTGTGTCTTGTTGGGTTAATTAGTGTGTGTATTTAGGCTCTGTGTTTCCTGTCAGGGTGTGTGAGATCCTTGTGGCTGGTGACTGTGCTAACGTGAATAGCGAGATTGAGGCTGTGTCATGTGTCATGTAAATAAATGCCCACACCGGGTTGTATTTTGGACGTTCTGCCTCTGCCTCCTTGCTTGGTCGGGCCGCTCAACGGTCAGCTTCACAGGGTCAGATTATAATTTTCCAAAGGGGATCCGTTCAGCAGGAAACACTTGAAATATCTAAAGGACAAGTTAAACAAGAAAGTAGAAAGAAAGGGAGGTCAAAGGAAACTCTTTCTGCTACAAAGTGAGCAATGATTGAGAGTCAGAGCTCAACATTTCAGACGTGTCTCACACTGTGACTTTAATTCATGTTCCTTTGCTTTTAACGAGTGCTTTTAAATGTCATTGCATGATATGTTTCTTAATGCTCTTAATGTCTCGTAAAGCACTTTGAATTGCCTCGTGATGAAAAGTGCTGTATGACTAAACGTGCCTTGCCTTTATCGTTTTACCTTCTTGTGAGAATAAACTCTAAAAGATTGTCTTATTTCAAGAATCTTCATTTCAGTATAACGGAAAGGTTTCCTCACCATTTCATTATTATGTGTTAGTTTGTCTCGGTTCATTTCCACACACAAGATGAATAAAGACAGAAGCTCTTGTTTTTATCCACTCCCTTTATTATATGTTGTTGTGATTCTGATTTGCTGATAGCAATAAGCTCCAGTTTGCAGTGCAGGTACATTTCACTCCTTCCTCCAGAGAACTGGAACATGGGGAAAGAAAGAGCGCTGGACGTAGTAAACATTGGTCCCACAGCGTGCTCTGAGAAATACAGCTTTGAACTTCATTCACTTGATAATCCACATTTCAATCCTTCCCTTCAGTGTTTCCCTTCTTAAGCTAACTCTGCTTCAGGCTGGGCACATTTAAATAGGATGGTAAACAAGAGATTACATTGTAAATTAAACCCTTTTATGATTCTTTTTCTTCAGTAGACACTTCACTAATATGTAAACATGGTAAAGTTAAAAATCAAGTACATATGTTCCATGAATCATGGTCTAAATCACGGATAAATGAGTTGCTAATATGAATAAAGTCATAATATTGGTCCCACAGGTCTGAGAAATACAGCTTTTAACTTCATTAACTTGATAATCCACATTTCAATCCTTCCCTTCAGTGTTTCCCTTCTTGAGCTAACTCAGGCCGGGCACATTTAATAATACAAAGTCATTAATACATATAAGCAGAAATCATATATACGAGAACAAACCCTCTAAACCCTTTTGATTATTTTTCACCATAAAGAAGTTACATCTCAGAATAACTGGAATCATCAGGAATAATCTCAGACCAAGATGATCCGTTTTCTGGAGATTTCCGCTTTTTTTAATCGAGACAAAGTCGGGAATCATCTGAGGAAACAAGCAGGACAACTGAGTCATGATTTATATAGGAGTCATTCAACAAGGATGTCATTAGTTCAAATGAATGAAGGTCGTACCATGTAAGGCTCTTTAATTACTCCAGGCCATCGTGATGAGGGCAGCGTTTCCTTCTGCAAATCTAGCAGATCTACGCCTCCTGCGAGCACCCCCCCCACAGCTCTGTAGACAGACAGGAAGTTAGCTTCACAGACAGGAAGTTAGCCTCACAGACAGGAAGTTAGCTTCACAGACAGGAAGTTAGCCTCACAGACAGGAAGTTAGCTTCACAGACAGGAAGTAAGGTTGTGGTCGAATAATCCAAAAATCAGCTCCTAAATTCTAACCCTATCGTCTACCCCTTGACCTCTGAGTGAAAGGTCACGGGGTTAAGGGATAGTGGATAGGAGAATTCAAAAGGACTTAGGAGAAGAGACTGCGGTACTTTAGAGAATCGACTGCACTTTCACTATCCAACGTGTTTATGATGCGCCAGCGGAGGTCATGAATGTGCGTCTGCTGCTGTGGGGAAACTATGGAAACTACAGTTTTCTATACAGCGGACTACAACATGGATGTTTAATAAGAACGAGGGACTACTGTAAACTCATCTAGAGACTCTGCACCGTGCTCTGATGCTGTTGCTTTATGCTTTATGAACGGGGACAACAGAGAAACATATTCTTCATGACCAAAGTTGGAATTGAAATAAAAAAGGAAAGTGAAATTTATGCTCGTCACCCTCTCCCTCCGGTCCACATTAATACAAATGATCCCAATACGTATGATTGTATGAAAAGATCTTAAATCAATACAAATGTATTTATTATAAACGTTAGTCCTTAACATCTATCACTGTGTATATCACCATTCAAACATCTTTTAAAAGTTGAACAAACCCCACACAGCTCAGTAAAGACTGTGAAATGTTGACTTTATTTGATCATTTCAGTAAAAACTAACGTTCATATTTCTCTTTTTGATTATAATACTGATGAACGTTCAAAACAAAGCACTTTGGCAACTTACCACATACGTTTTAAAAAGCTTAATAAGCACCGTAACTTTCATGATATCATTTCTCGTTCATAATCGGTTGTTTCCGTGAACGGCCGACTGTTGTGTGACGGCAAATGCTGCGGCCGCAAGGCATTGTGGGGCAGCATGTTCTCCTCTCCTTTAGGTTAGGGAGGTCCAGTGGTTCCTAAGCTAAGGAGGAGGAGGTGAGGCCCCCTCATAACTGCATGAACCCGTATGGCGCAATACAACTCAGACTGGCTTACCTGTATGTCAATCAAGTAAGGATGGATGATAGGCTGACTTTTAAAAAAGAATTAAATTTTTTTTTAAAAAGTCAATGCCATGCGATCTACCCACACTACCTTTGCGATCGACCGGTCGATCGCGATCGACGTATTGGGCACCCCTGATCTAGAGAATTCGATTGGCACTTATCATGGCTGCCACTGAGGGACTTCCGGGTAATTTCACTCCGTTAGGAAGGTTCCTAAACTAAAGGGACTATTCGTCCGCAACCAGGAAGTTAGCCTCACAGACAGGAAGTTAGCCTCACAGACAGGAAGTTAGCCTCACAGACAGGAAGTTAGCCTCACAGACAGGAAGTTAGCTTTCACTTTAAACCCCACTCAGTGGGTCCCACTGTAAACATTATTCCAACTATAGTTAGTGACGTGAAGTCATGTGACCGTGCTGTAGTTCCTTTATAGCCCAACATTAGCCGTCTTTAGCTTAGCAGTGGTGACGTGAAGTCATGTGACCGTGCTGTAGTTCCTTTATAGCCCAACATTAGCCACCTTTAGTTTAGCGGTGGTGACGTGAAGTCATGTGACCGTGCTGTAGTTCCTTTATAGCCCAACATTAGCCGCCTTTAGCTTAGCGTTAGCTTTTTAGTTCAGAAATCATAAAGAGGTGTTAATATGTGGAGATTATCCCGCTGAACTAAACGTGTAAGAATCATAAACGTTTGTTTGACACAGAGATTATTTTCTGACTTAATCCCAAAAAGAAATCCCATTGGACCAGGGAGATGCTGCCTTCAGGGTCCAACACAGAAATATCACATTGTGCATCAATGTATTTTGATGTTTGATGATTACTTCCATCTAAAATGATAACACTTTGGTTAACGTCCCCGGTGTTCCAGGGAACTCACCAAGTGTCAGAAAACACAACCCTCTCTATTTTCCTCCATACCCAAATCTCTAAAAAAGGGGCTGCAACGGATCTGATAAAAACTGATCCAGATTTGAACACTGTCCTGACGTCAGGACGGTGGCGCTACGGCTATTGGGCCAACTCCACCAATCAGGAGGAGACAGCCACGGCCATTGCCGTTCGAAAGCGCTGGAGACGCTGTAGTACATATGCCAGGCCTGTAAGTGGCGCTGTAGTCTGCCACAAAAGCAGCGAAGAGGACTTGGTTACCATGGTTACCCTTCTGTTTATTCTCCGCTGTGGCTTTCTTTCTCCCTCCCCGAGGCAAGCGTTTGCTCCCGCTGCTTTAATTCAATGCAATCCCTCCCCGTCGAGGCAAGCACTGTAATTCTCTCCGGTTAGTCCACCAGCAGATGACAAACACCCAACTCTCCGCCTCTTCCAAGGAACGAGGGGACCGTGCGGCAGAGTTTCAGTTTCAGTTTCTTTCGCCGGTCAAGATGTCCGTTAAAGTTTAAATCTTCCGGACAAAATGAGAAAAGTGCCGGTCAAAGGTCTTCTTTGTTATTTATTGAGCTTTAAAACAAATGAATAACGACTCTATATAATAAAACACAGAGGACGGAGATCTCTTTTTCTCCCCCTCTTCTGACAGCCCAGCAGCTGATCAGAGCACGTCTCCCCTCTCCTGTAGGGGGGCGTGGTCAGCAGAATCAGACCCGTAGACAGCAAACAGCACATAGAGCGAAATGAGGCATGGCTAAAATGCATGATCTGTTTGGTATTTTGAAAACAGAAACGTATAAATATACCTTATATAGGTATGGCCCTACAATATATCATTTAAATATAGCATGATAGGTTTCCTTTAAGCTGCGATAATAATCCTGTAATATAACACCATGAATAAGGAGTACTTTTACTTGAGGTGTATTAGAACTTACCGGAGCGCAGGCCTGGCCCTGTGTGGGGCACAGCTCCAGTTTGCAGTGCAGGTAGATTTCACTGCTTGCTCCAGAGAACTCGAACATGTTGAAGGAGAAAACGCTGGACGTTCCCTGTCCGTTTCCCTGCATCTGCACCGTATCATCAGCAGGGTTCGGACATCTGCCCGGAGACAGGAAATACACAAGATGAAGTCTCAGAGTTTATTCTGTTCTAACAGTCAGAGTTTATTTTGTTCTAACAGTCAGAGTTTATTTTGATCTAACAGTCAGAGTTTATTTCCTCACCCGTTGATGATGAGGTCATATCGCAGCGAATCATCAGGTGATGCCTGATTGGTTGCCCAGCAGGAGTCTGTCACCATAGCGACCATGTTGGCGTCCAGCCCCCCCGCCTCCAGCTGCAGCCAGACCTTCTGATTCAGCAGGATCTCCGTGTTCGGGCCGACCGGCTGCAGGAGGCCGGCGTCACTGAAGGCTTTCATCGTCAGAGTGTAGTTCCACACTCCAGATACAAGCTGCTGCACCACAGAGCTACACACACACACACACACACACACACACACACACACACACACACACACACACACACACACACACACACACACACACACACACACACACACACACACACACACACACACACACACACACACACACACACACACACACACACACACACACACACACACACACACACACACACACACACACACACACAGTTTAGCAGTGTGACGCTTGGAGCTGTGGTGCATTAAGGACCAGGAGGACCCTCACCTGTCTCTGATAGTGAAGGACACACTCTTGACCTCCAGCTGTTTGTAAAAGCAGGAGAAGTCGATCTTGAGTTGGTCTTGGCGCGTGATGACGCCGGCCGATGAGCGGTTGCTCGACACGATGGAGTTCTCGTAGACGATCTGGCTGCCGTTCTTCTGCATTGTGAAAGAAAAAGTAATCAGTTCATTTGATCACAGCGCAAACATTACTCCCGAACATTTCCCTCCTGACGGCCATATCTTTATCATCCAGTTCATGGATCACGTGTGTCCTTCTTTCATCAATAAAGGAAACTAGTGGGACATGTCCTCTACAGGACAACAGGAAGTGATGAGCCCTGTAATGGAAGTGTGGTATTGAAGCTTTGATAAAGGGTTATCCTATAACGACTGGTTTCCTGAAGTGTGGAGAAGACTGATGTTCAGGATGACACTGCAGGAAACCTCATGGCACTAAAGCAGTTTTAGGACCTGTCAGTGTTTCTTGTTGCTCTGTTGTTTTTGTAAGGGTTACTCGCTGCAAGATAAACACGGGAAACAGTATTGTCAAACAGGGATGCTATACTGTTCAGATCCAGATACCGCAGACTAAATGTTTCTGTAGATCTGATCTGTTGTAATGCACATGTGTGAATGATAAACTGAGGCATGGTTGAAATGGCTCTTATTTTTCTTAAGAAATGTCAGGTTGTTCCTAATGTTTTGTAAAAAGATAGTTCATTAAATGTGATCATTTTAAGAATACACTTTGTTGTACTAAAACCAAAGGGAACGGTTTAGAGTTGTGGTTATTTATAGGTCAATATGCTGTGATCTCACTGGTCCGGCCCACTGGAGATCACATGTGGCTGTATGTGGCCCCTGAACTAGAAAGAGGTTGACACAATAACTGGTTTTAAGTTGTGAGGAAAGCACGCACCATGACCTCCGTCCCGCAGGTGTTGCTGCTGTCGAAGCTGAAGGTCACCAGGTTGCTCTGGGGGTCCATGTGGCCCTTGCAGCTGGGGTCTTTCAGGTGTAAGGTGGAGAAGTCGATGCCTTTGTCAGCCAGCAGACATCCAGCCAGAGTCACAGTGGCCGAGCCCTGCCTGCAGACCGGCGGCTCGCCTGCAAACACAGCAACACTTCAAGTTAACCGTTGTCAGGGAGAAAAACGAGCTAAAATAACCAACTGATGGTTAGCTCCAAAAGTCCAAAGAAAGAAAAGTACATTCAGGGACTGTGGTCAGGATATAATGATATGAGATGTATGATATGAATAACTACTAATGTCTCTAAAGAACATGTGATGCGTTCAGGAGCGCCTCTCTTCCAGCTCCGTACCTAAAGACTTGGTGGCTCTGTACTTGGAGGCGAACCCAGCCCGACAGAAGCAGCGAGACGACGACCACATCTCTGCTCCACAGAACTCATGATCACTGCAGGGCTGCTGACAGAGAGGGGGGGGGGCTACACACACACACACACACACACACACACGCACACACACACACACACACACACACACACACACACACACACACACACACACACACACACACACACACACACACACACACACATTGGTGGGCAGATCTCAGATAACGATTATAAAACTCATGATAGTATTAATAACAATTTATAATAATATATATTTAAAATAAATTGATAAAAGTTATATATATATTAACATCTATCTATACAGGAGATATCACACACATTCTTTACCGTAATAAAACATCCAACATGAGGAGCCAACTATGACAGTTAGACGAGTTTAAAATATTTTTAAAATGAAATGAAAATAATTCATTTTACAAAATCGATGCTTTTATTATTTTTACTTTAATTTCCCTTTTTTCCTTCATACACAGTTTTAAATAGTTATCATAATAATATCACTAATAACAATGATTATACAAACTATTACTAGGAATGAAGTAATAAACCTAGAATGAAGTGAAATCAAACACTGCACACTATCCATATTACATATATCCTGTATATGTGACCAGGCTACTATACAAACACAGGGACTTCCAGTTGTGTATTAAACCACAACGACTGTCAATATTAGAGTGAAAGAGGGTCTTACAGCAGCCAGAAGTTGACCTCCAGTCCTCCAGGGTCACGTTGGCTTCCAGGCTGCAGGCCTTGGCGTAAGCCTCCAAAAAGTGGCAGTCGACCCCATCCACTGACGGGTATCTGCACAGAGTGTGTGTGCAGGCGCTGATGAACGGCTCTGGGTCGGTGTGCTCGTGACAGGCGGAGAAGGGAGGCTGCCTCATGAGATTACAGCTGTTCAGAGGGGAAGATGGGGGGGGTCAGTGCTCTGAACAGTGTTACGTGAGTTCACCTTCCAGAAACATCCCTGCTCATGTGACCGTGCTTTACAGGATGAATGTGTAAGTGTTTAGTGTCTTTATGGCTCAGATCTTACTGGTCAGTTGAGCTGTTGCAGTTGATGGAGCTGTCGATGGTGTCTTGTTGCTGAATCTCACAGCTAGAGGGAGACAAACATCACATTTTAAACCTATAACGCATCATTATAAACAGCTGATATCAGTCAGACTAAGGGGTACCCGGGGGGTCTGAAGGAAGAGGACCATATCATTAGAAACAGCTGATATCAGTCAGACTAAGGGGTACCCGGGGGGGTCTGAAGGAAGAGGACCATATCATTATAAACAGCTGATATCAGTCAGACTAAGGGGTACCCGGGGGGGTCTGAAGGAAGAGGATCATATCATTATAAACAGCTGATATCAGTCAGACTAAGGGGTACCCGGGGGGTCTGAAGGAAGAGGACCATATCATTATAAACAGCTGATATCAGTCAGACTAAGGGGTACCCGGGGGGTCTGAAGGAAGAGGATCATATCATTATAAACAGCTGATATCAGTCAGACTAAGGGGTACCCGGGGGGGTCTGAAGGAAGAGGACCATATCATTATAAACAGCTGATATCAGACAGACTAAGGGGTACCTGGGGGGGCTGAAGGAAGAGGACCATATCATTATAAACAGCTGATATCAGACAGACTAAGGGGTACGCGGGGGGTCTGAAGACAGAGGACCATATCATTATAAACAGCTGATATCAGACAGACTAAGGGGTACCCGGGGGGGCTGAAGGAAGAGGTCTTCTCTGCTATCGGGGTAGTGGTCCAGGTGGAGTTTAACGGGCTGCCACACAAACCCTCCATAGCTTCAATTCCTGGTGGATGTGAGGAGACAATAAAGACAAATCAATAAAGTTCAAGATATATGTTAACATGATTGAAAATGCAATACCACTAAATGTGTTTAAAGTGGACCTATCATGCTATATTTGAAACATATATTGTAGGGCCATACCTATATAAAACATGTCTGTGAAGTTTTTTTTTCAAAATACCAAACAGATCATGCATTTTAGCCATGCCTCATTTCGCTCTATTTGCTCTTTTCCAGCCCTGTTTTTGCATGAGCTGATTCTGTGAGAAGTCGTCTTCGCTGCTTTTGTGGCAGACTACAGATTCCTCAGAAAGGTAAATTATAGAATATTTCTGTTAGCGTCATGCTAGCTGGGAACTGTGACTTGTTCAGATTAGAAATCTCTAAGAATCCCTGTCGATGGGAAATGAAGCAGCCACTTCTCGTGCTCATTGCTCAGTACCTGACACATGTGCAGTGTTGCCATCAAAATAGAGAGTCATGTTGGAGTTGGGTAACTTAGCAGTGACTCCAGCCTGGCCCTTGGAGAGCTCCACGCCGTGATGCTGCTGAGCCGTGCTGCTGAGCACCAGAGCTTCATCACCAACCTAGACACACACACACACACACACACACACACACACACACACACACACACACACACACACACACACACACACACACACACACACACACACACACACACACACACACACACACACACACAGGTTTTTAGAATGAATGTAGTTTTTCTATTTGGTGCTGCTCTACAAAGTGAGTGAACATTAAATACAGCAACACAAAGTGATCAAACCCCCCCCCCACCCTGTGCCCTGCTCTTCCTCACCCGAACTCTTCCTCCTTGCTCCAGATACATGGTCACACCTGGCAGCGTCAGGATCAGGTGGTCCAGAAGAGGAACATCTGTACGCCGGCGCTCCCTGAAAGCGGCCATGAGGTTGAAGCTGGCGCTGCCTTCAGGCTCCATCAGACTGTAGGCACAGCGATCCTGGACAGAGTGCACTGCTCCGTGGAAACCGATCACCGTGGAGCCCGTCACCGTGCACACCACTGGAGGAATAGCGCACCTGATGGACATTCAATTCAAAGGCTTTATTGTCATATGCACAAAGCTACAGTGTAGAAATGGCAATATGTTGCATTATGGGTAATGTTGCAGCTCAACTCTACTTGGGACAACCCGGATATCTGCGGTTTGGTCTGATTTATGGACGCAGCACTACAACACTGATGGAGCTCGCCTGGGAGGATTGAAACATGTGTAAAGCATGGAGGATAGGTCAAAGGATCACTTTATAGGAACACTGCACACACACCGAGACGCTGTGCATCCATCTGGATCTCTTTTCATAAAGTGTCCGTCATGAGGCCCACCATGTCAAACAAGTGCAATGGGAAATAAGTGGAGAACGTTTTTTAGAATTTATAGACTGAACCATTCTCCAGCTGATCAGAAACAATAATGGATGGACTTAAAACCCCTTTCCACTGAAATGAGAACCGTGTTAGTTCGGACGGTTGGTTCTCAATGTTGGACCAATGACCAGTTCATTTGACAGCACTGTTTACGTCCCTGCATTTTCCAGCAAAGCCAGCTTAGGCAAAAACTACAACAATGGCGGGCTGCATTGGAGCTGTGCTCTTGTTGCTCTTCTTCAGATCCAGGTTGAACTGTTCCCACTAGGATTCAGAGGCATTCACCGTTGCTTTAGTGACAGTCAGTAATTCACTGCTGACTGTCACTAAAGCAACAGATGCAGATTTCCCCAGTGATTCATATTTTGTTCAGTTTTAATGTACAATGTTTGACGTTAACTGCCAAACGTTTCCCTGTATCATATGGATGATGTTAGCATAGCCAGTCTGAAGAAGCAATAACCAGATTAAGAGCCAACAAACTAAATTAAACGTATTTAAAATATATAACACATGATATGAACATTAGATGGTTACGGCGTTTTAATTATTCACCATAAATGCTTTGTATGAGTACATGTTGCTATCATTGAGTCATTTTCCGTTTTCTACCGGCGCTCTTTCAATAGGATTTCACTTGTGATCTGATATGAAAACTTGTGTAGCCTGCAGTATGTAGTGATCACACCTGAAAGCTGGTATAAAAACAACAGGAGAACGGGTCGTGCTGCTCCTCAAAACGGGCCGTGAGAGCGAACGTATCTCTACGGCTCTAGTGATCTGACCCAGCCTCCACACAGATCTGGTTCTTGGTTCCAGTTCAGCAGTGCTCTGGTTCCTAACACGAACCAGTTTTGCTCATGGAAACAATGAAAGGACTGGAGAGCTATCGGGCACTAGCTCTGAACTGACTCTGGAACTGCTTTGGTGGAAAGGGGTAATAGAAATAGGAACAGATTCATCAATAACTGCAATAATCCTCAGGTGGATAATATCCTCACTCTCTCATGGAGGGTTCGATCACATGGGACACTTTATTCAAATCAGTCAGACCTTTATTCCTGATATAAAGAGCACATATTTACGTGTTGTCCGCTTGGCAAACCTCCTCGGGCCCACATGCAGTGACATTAGAGATGACTGCAGACAGAGAACAGACTCCAGTAGAGCAGGGCCCTAAATTAGGCATCTCTGAACCCGGCATTACAGCGCCACCTTGGAGGAGAATGGAGGTAATGATATTACACTTCAGTAACTACAGGCAGAATTTAAGATAGGGAAACATTTAACTTAGAGGATCCCTTTCTGTGGGAACCCCCAGACCAGCTTACCTGAGCCTCTGCATCCACTCAGGTCTTGAAAAGTATATGTTCCTGGAGTCAAATCATGAGGCTGCCAGGTCACCATCACTGTGCCACCGACTGTTGTAGAAATGTTCTAGTAAAGGATTAAACAGAATGTATTTGTATGTATATTATGTATTTAACAGGGACATTGCACACTAAGAACCATTTCTGTAAAAGAGTTAGCCAAGAGGCTCTTTTACATCTGTAGTCCCTGGACAGATGTTTGAACCTTAAAAACACATTTAAAATAACAAGTAAATACAATCAGTGAAAACAAAGGTAACCTCAACACTGTACACATGAATGAAAGCGTTCTATAGATGCCACTTCTGATATATTTCCTCCGATGTTAGGACATGAAGTAACAGTGAGAGCAGTGGTGAGCTCCTTCATTATTCCAGATTGATATTTCTAATGAACTCCTTTGTCCACTTGAGGGCAGGAAGGAGCAGAACCACCAGCCCCTGGTGCTGTGAGTCCAGCCTGCCCCCGTTAGCTCTGCATGCTAGCAGCTACATGTGTCACTGATAAGAACTCTCTTTGTCTTCATGCTAACACATGATGCTGAGTGACTTCTGCTTCCTGAAACTCTAAGGCTGTGTATGACATTATTTCTGACACCTATCTCTGTTTAGAAGTGAAAATAAGAAGAGAGTTTTCAAAGGAGAGGCTGAGAGGAGCAAACAGACTGCACTGTATCTTCTCCATTCACCTATCCATGCTGAACTAAAAGCTGGTTCTGTATCATATGAATGATGTCTGATAGTGATACAAAGGAATAATGGATCACACACAGCCTCAGTTCTCATTTCTCAGGGTGGTTAGGGTACAGAAGTCTTCTCAGGGATCAGTTCTCATTCAGAGTGAGTGTGAGGAAGGCTGGAAGACAGCAGCTTTCCAACAGAAAGCATTTAGGATATGAGTTTCCCTGGCACACAGAAACAAACAGGAGCACATTGCATTGGTATCGGGACCTGACAAATGGTAACTCTAAACATCGGTGAGGCTGAAGGATTAGGGTTAGGTAACAGCCTCATGTCATACTTACTAAACTAGCAGAAAACGGACGGCCAGCATCATAATATATCGCGCAAGCAGCTTGTAAACCATAATTGTAGAATGCCCAAACAACCTGAAAGCAGGAACAGAGAGAGAAATATTAGGAAATGCTTCCAACATTTTACAAATAAACTTTGATTTGAAGTTGTCTTTGCCACACAATGTCTTTGAAATGTTCATTTTGTACAAACAGCTGGACAGCCAGTCAGTGTGTAACAGGGATCGGATCAGGACTCACATCATTTGTAGCACCACTTTTGAACTTTAAAAAAATGTCACCCTGTGACTGGGTGTTGATGTTAACAAGAGAAGGGTCAGGGGTAACTGACTGTGTTTTTATAGTGTATTCCAGATTGTCTGAAGCCACCCCGTCGTTGGTCATCATACAGTCAGTGTCGTCCTCAGATTGGTCATTTTTGAAACAAACTTCAACCTTATTGCCGATCTTCACCTGCAAAAACAAAAAGACAGCATTCATGAAGGAACTACAATATGAAGGCTTTCGCTCCAAAACAGCATCGTCTCATCTCCTCAAATGTCTGAGCTGCAAGGTGTGCTTTGAGCTACGGAGAAAAAGGATAGGATCAATTATGAGATCAAAACATTTCTCTCACTTTGGAAAAAACCTTTCTACAAGCCACTGTCCAACAAGTCTTTATGTCTCCTTTCATACAGAGACACATGTGGAATCAAAGAGACGCGTCCAGCTGCTCCAAACCACTTCCTGTTGGCTCTAGTAATGATCTGTCCCCACTCCATTGAACTGATCTGATCAGTGCCTGACCCCATAGACCCCATAGACCCCATAGACCCCATAGACCCCATAGACCCCATAGACCCATAGACCTCCATAGACCCCATAGACCCCATAGACTCCATAGACCCCATAGACCCCATAGACCTCCATAGACCCCATAGACCCCATAGACACCATAGACCCCATAGACCCCATAGACCCCATAGACCCCATAGACCCATAGACCTCCATAGACCCCATAGACCCCATAGACCTCCATAGACCCCATAGACCCCATAGACCCCATAGACCTCCATAGACCCCATAGACCCCATAGACCCCATAGACCTCCATAGACCCCATAGACCCCATAGACCCCATAGACCTCCATAGACCAGACCCCATAGACCCCCATAGACCCCATAGACCCCATAGACCCCATAGACCCCAGAGGGAAATGTTACGCTCACTTTCCAGCTCCGGACCAGACTCACAGTGATGCATTCTGGGACCAAGCCTGTCTCAGTACGTCTGATATTGAATAATACGAGGGGAAACTTTTATAATACCCAAAATAACAGCTGGCACAAAAAGCACACACTTTAAACTTTGTGTGTAATACTCAATTCATTCTCTGCCTTTAGCAACATGTCATTATTCATTTGCTCCCATATTTACAGGCTGACACGCTGAAAGGTAACAAACCGCTTACATCTATATATAAATAAGATCAAGACAAAATCACTAGGGACTGATTCTGAGGACTGTGAGTTAGTACATATTAATAAAACATTAAACAGTGAGTTATTACATATTAAATATTGAGTTATAACATTAAACAGTGAGTTATTACATATTAAATATTGAGTTATAACATATTAAACAGTGAGTTATAACATATTAAACAGTGAGTTATAACATATCA